AGGGCTCGGTTTGAGCTGAATGAGACTTACAATGGAGAATATCCTCTTAAAATTACAATCCTTTAACTTTTCAGGTACTCGAGTTATCAACTTACCCGAAAAAACTTTGGCGGACCCGTATGTAGGTGCCGCGCTTAGCCGGGGACTGGTTTGAAGCTCATTAAGACTTACGTGGACAGGGAACGTCCCCGTAAAATTCCAGCATTCTAGCTTCTCGGATCCCCGAATTATGAACTTGCCGAAAAAAATTTTAGCAGACTCGCACGTAGGTACCACGCATACCCGGAGGCTGAGTTTGAGCTCATTAATACCCATTTGGACGGGGAACATACCCTTAAGATTTCAGCCCCCAAGCATTTCTGGTTCCCGAGTTTACAGCTTCCCCGCAAAAAATTTCGGCGGGCTCTTACGTGGGTACCACGTGGGTAATGGCGCCCATTCTGGGAATTGAGGCGTGCATATAGATTAAGTTCCCAAAGTTCCAGCCCTGTAGCTTTTGTAGGTCTTGAAATGAAAAACCGTGACAGACGCACACACGGACACACAGACACACAGACGCACAGACACACACAGAAGACCCTTCGTCAGTATGCGTTTTCCGCATTGCATAGCTGCAAAAAACGCATAAAAAGGAATCGTTTTTAACTATGGTTTCTTAACTGAGGAAGAATTCGATGAGTTGTGACATTTGTTGTGTTATTTGAGTATCGTGTTTTCTAGATTGTAACACTGGGTTCAAGTGAGGTGTCATTCCTACAAATTCGAGGATCAGTCCCGCTTTTTTGGGAACAGCCCGGTATCAATGTTGGCTCTCATAAGGTGAAATTACGAGCATTCGAGGCCTCCGCGCCGGCATTCAGCAGGTACGTCTTTCTATTTAGATGTTTTTTGTCCGATTTCGCATCCAACCGTGTGCATATTAACCTCTGGAGAGGTGTACTCAGAGAGTTGCAAGGGAGCGATACTGAAACTGTCCATTTGGGAAGAGAAAATGTAAAAACTGAGTTAAATCAAATGGCGAAAAATTTATCTGGATGAGTGAGGCAAGAGGTGGTGCTTTTCCTCGTTGTTTTGGCGGATGTGTGATGTTTCTTCAATTGTTTGTGTGATCGTTCAGTTCCCTTTTCTGTCCTTATTTCTGGACTTCTGTGACGGCCATTAGTATTAAAATCAGTTAATCACAGAAGACTTTTAGGAGGAGTAAATTGTAGGCAGATTTTCTTTCACTTTGTTAATCAGGGACTTTTATTTCAAATTCGAATGCTTATTTTTATATCAGGCACTTTCGCTTACTCAAGGAGAGCTATGGTGATGTTACGGCTGTGAACCTTCTTGGCTCGAAAGAGGGTGAAACATTACTGTCGAAAGCATACGAAGTTTGTTTTTGTTTTGCTTAGCCTTTCCAAATGGCGGTGAATTGTGGCTGTGGCCTTAATACGTTATCGAGTGGATATTAGTGTAGATATATCACTCGAGTCCCTCTCCCTCCACCTGAATTATTCTTTTCTGTTATGTAGTGCACCTAGCAGAGACCATCGGATCAGTAAGAACCGGCCACCAACGGACCAGCTAGCACCATAGAGCCCTATGGATCAGCGGTGCTCGCACTGATGGAGCAAGATGACAGGGCCTAAACGCAATAATTGCACCAATGGACATGAAATTAAAACAGACACGTCGCATAATGAAATTAAAACCATAAAAGCCTGTCAGCTTGAAGCATTTTTAAAAAGTTCAGTGAAAGTATCAGACAGACACTGGTGACCTACGGTGTTTGCCTAATAAAGGTTTTTTTTAGGCGCACTATAAAAATTCACACTGTGCTGTTGATTACATTGCTTTTGATTATCACGAAGAAAAACGAAATTGCCTAAAACTGATTGATAGGTTGAAGGCAACAATTCTGAAGTGTATGTTCTTCTGCAGGCGTAATGGAAGCTTAATTTGGTTTGTGTTTTTTCGAATTTTTTATAGATTTTTTGACTGAATATTGCACTGGTCTTTTTTAACATTCCGGTTGCATTTTACTTAGCATTTCTGCTTATAAGAAGGAAGAATGAAGAAAGCTATTATCATCAAGCCGATCGCCAGCTGTATTAGCTTCGGTCCGAACAAACAAACAATACTGCTCGAGTGCTTGACTAAACAGAGGAGCGCTACGATGAGACAAAAGCAGCTGATGAAAAGATGGACTGATTTAGTATTCTGAAACACCACTGTATGATACTTTTATGTCTAATTCAGTCAACTGTTGGGCCAAATTCTGCCGCAACCAAAAAAAAAAGTATAATGTGATATAGTGCTTATAAAAGGAATACTTTACGTTGATAATGAAAAAAATCAGAGCCTCTTCTCTGTTTCTTCATATGCAAGCGAGACATGCGGGAACTTGGAAGTGGCTGGACATTAATGCTTTGTAAGTAAGCTGTCAATAGCTTTCGTTTCTGTAAGCAGACTGGTTGCTGCTTAACTTTCTGACGCTCAAGCTTGACAGTATCGATCAACTACCGACACAAATCGTAGGGAAATTATTTTTCCTTTTAGCGAATTTGAGCTGACTGCTGAAACTTCGAAGTAGACGTCAGTTACTATTAAGCAAGCTCGCTGAATCGTCTGCAGTATAACCGCTTTTTTGTTTCGTCCTGGCCAGGTACAGAAACTCCCGAGTTATCCAGTACATTGTCACAGCCTTACCTGGATGTGCACTTACAGTGAGGAACTACCTACAATAGATATTCAAATTCAAAACTCAGTCTTCCAACGACCTGTTGCTTTGTCTCGATACCAAACTGACATTTAGCGTAGCATGAATGAGTTGCTGAGTATGAATTTTTCCTGTTTTTTAGCACGCAAAATGGCGTCATTCGTGTAAATTGTCTGGATTGCTTGGATCGAACAAATGCGGTGCAGACTCTCATCGGATTTCAGGTAGCTCGTTTTCATTTTGGGATTTTTAGGATTGTACCACTGATCCTCCAGTCATATGAGGTTGATAGGAAATATTCATCGACCTTTTGTTAATAGTTGAATAAATCAAAACTGACGCTGCACCTGATATTTTTAGGTGTTGACGTCACAGCTGGAAAGTCTACAGGTTGACAGGAAATATTTTTCACGATTTGAAGAGCACCTAAAAGATATATGGCAGCGGAACGGCGATGCATGCAGTGTGATTT